GCTTTTTCTAATCAAAACTGGGCTGAAATTTGATGTCTTTTTTTTCAATTCTCTATACTTCTCCGACAAACAATATATCGAAATTCACTGTGCTCCATGTTAGACTCCCTTGTATTGCACAAATAATTGCACCCGGCTGAATTCATCGGTAATTGAATTAGAAGCGTTCTTCAATCTTCTTCTCCGTTTGTCTGCCGTCTCGGGGCGTTCGGATCATCCCCCTTAGCCCTACCGAGGGAAACCAAATAAGGACAATGAATTCCTATAAAGATCTGTTGAGGAGTGGGGGCACTGGTTAGGTGTCACTTTATTAATCCTCCCCCCCCTCCCCTTCCCCCAAATCACTCAACGAGAGTCTACTGTAGGGTATATGTATTAGGGTGAAGGAAAAAAAAATGTATACGATATCTTTAAAACCACCCTAATATGCGAATATACGGTCGATTCAAATTACGCGCGCTTCGAAGAAAAAAAGCTTTTAACTGCTGCTGCTGCGATCCCATGCACTGTGGCACTTGGAAGCTTTACCGATAGGATTAGTTCAGTAGTTTATCGGCTGAAAACGTGCGTGCGAATCGTCGCACTAAAAGGTCGTGGTATAACGATCGATCGATAATCGGCTGGTGGCCGGGGGGAGGGTGGGGTGTATGGGTGAGCTAAAATGCGATCTCTAGTTTCCACTAGCTTATTGTTAGTTTCCATAACGCACGGTATCGTCCTTTACGAGGCATTTGGGAGCTTCTGTTGAAACTACCTAGACGATTATGCGAAGGTTCTAACTTTCGGTCTACTGCGCATGCGCGTTAACGTAACCCCTAGAACCGTTCGTTCTCGACTCCCCGTAGAGGATAGCGATACCAAAGATTCGCCAATTTTTAATTTATATCTTCAGTACCAATTACGTTTTTCGCGGTCGAGCGTTTTGAGTTTGGGAGAAAAGAATTTTTTGACTCTGTCAAAAGTTGGCACTACTGCTCTGTTTTTCACCACTTTATGCATTCACTGCTCTCGGTAATTTTCTCTTTGTAGCATTTCAACGGGAATTGCAACCATTTTGTATTTTTCTTTGAATATACGCTTACTGGGTATTGTTTTGGCACAGATCGTGAGATTAGCAATTTCGAAATAATACGATATTTATTTAGCCTTCATTTTTGCAGCTAATCGCGAAAACTACCTGACTTTACTTTATTCACGTTTATCGTCGCTCTCGACCAAATTCCAACAACTGTTCTCCACTGGCTGTTAACTGTCGAATACAGTAAACAACGTTTACGGCGCACAAAGCGTTCGCGAGTCAAAGGGCCAACCGTGCGCCGGTCGGCTACTGTATTTATCGCAGGTATAGCAGAGACTATTTGAAAAGCCTCGCGTTACTCGAATGACTGACGGTACGCAACGCCCTAGCAGATACGAAAGCCTCTCCGGAGGCCAAGCAGCTTTTACCCTCGAACGAGCAAAACTATTACGAGGCTGACGTGCGAAATGATTATTCCTCAACTATCAACTGCGTTACCATGGCAATCGTATTGTCTCTTCGACTGTAAAAGCTCTGCGCTCGAAGCACGAAAACGTATACCCGTTACGGCGGATACGAAGATACAATATTTCTCAAGCTCAGAACCAGATATACAATCGTCAATAAGACTCTCGCGAATACCTAATCAGAATATATGAAACACGATAAGAAACCAGATACGTTGTGAAAAAAATTTATTTACAATTTTTTCTTAACCGTTCATTCACCCTGACACACAAGACTTCCCAAGGACAAACTTAAAGCTTCCGAGAGTCTCCAGAATGCTTTCCTCTATTTTTCACGAGGACCCGGCGACAACTTTCCATAAGGTAGTCTAACGCGAAAACAAATGTCCCGGGGTCGGCGAAGAAGAACAGCCGGAGCTACGAGAGGGACGGGGGACTGGCGGGGGACTGGCGGGGGACTGGGTACCAAGCAGGGTGCAAAAGGTTAGAGGGATGGTATCTCTCCGGGCGAGGCGCGACATTTTTCTTAGCCTTGAAATATGCACGGGCCACGGCCTCCCGAGACTTGAATTACCCCTCGTGTCTCCGTTCTCTGCCCAGACAATCCCACCCCCCGACCCCCTTCGTACAACCATACCCAACATAGTGGTGCAGAACAATCCCCAAGGAATCTCCAGGATCTGGGATGAAATCTTGAGGATTTCAAATTTTTTATATACCACATCAAATTACCTCCTTGGGTGGTTGGGGGGGGAGGGGGAGGGGGGTTCGCCCAGACGCATTCTCCTCTGGCTACCCTTAGTCTCGTAAAATATTCTCCCTAAACCACCCTTATTGCATCTTCGTCTCGGAGTCTAACAAAGGTCGTTTCGCTTGCGTATAAAATGTCCAGCTTCGAAATCGAATTTCCAAACGGTCTAGACGGCTTACGACCCTTCGCTAATGTTACGTCATAACTACCTTCCATACGTACACGCAAGGGTAGCGCAGTCTTACGGATGATATTCATGGCGCGTTATATGGAAATCACGGTTTTACGCGCTCACCGTGCAAGGAACATCGCCTGGAAGCGAGTCGACCGTTTTGCGTTACTCTCTTTTCCTATATATCTCTCTCTCTCTCTCTCTTTCTCCTTCGCTCTGCATATTACGTCTGTCTCTTTTTACTATACCTCCTACTTTGCATGGCTCGTACTTATAACCCGTAACGATTTTATAAATATCTAATAGCAGTCACATTTTACCATATTTCAAAGCCAACCTCCCCCTGTACCCTTTAAGCGTTTCTGTTATACGCTCACCCTGTACTCTCTGTTATCCCTATCTTTTTTTTTCTCGGCGGCTTTTGCTATTCTTACTCTCTACCCACTCTGTACCTATACTACCACTGGGTCGACCCTTAACGCTACGGATGCATTAGAGATCCGACGCCCTATGGAATCCCGTTATGCTCGTGACGTATGCTTCAGGCATTTAATGCGATCCTGAGCATTCCGGAATACAGTAATATTGGCGTGGTAATATAGCTAACGGTAATACAGAGGGATGCCTTTACGGGTCTTAGAGAGAAATAAGGTTCTATTATATTATGCAGAGACTGTATATATATATATATATATATATATATAGTCTGCAAATACTAAAATCCAGTACAATAGTGTAGCGTTCAGGGACGCAGGCGGTTTTTTACCATGACTGAGATAAAACTTTGTGAATCCTTGGAGATTCCCGAAGTAAATCCGTACAGATATCAGAAAATCGAGAGCGATTCCGAAAAGGGGAAGAAGGGATGCTGGATCGTGAAAATGTCAATACTGGTATGGGTACAGTTTCGTAGGACCGAACGAGTGGAATTACCTATCGGTATATGTATATTGCCGATCTGCGAAATGGCAGGAAATCGAGGATTCCTCTACACTAGGTATTGCCCAAGTGGCTACGAAATATCTGATACGTCCTGAGAGCGTCGGAACGCATTTGCCGTTCTTCGATTTTTCTATCGTCTCTCGTAAATCTATTTGACACTGTCGATACCGCCGTTCTTTTCGCTCATCGGCGCTACCAGTTCCTGCAGTCGTGCTAACTGTCCGCGAGTGGTAGTAAACTTTTGTTTCTCGTTAACCAATAGAATTATCCTGCCCCCTGGCAATTACGGGGAGTCGATCATAAATAACGACTCGTCACGTGATCCATTTTCAGGTTTCATTCACGAAAAATAGCCGGGGTTACGCGTGCGTATATATATATATATATATATATATATATATATATATATATATATATATATACGTAAGGTATACTTCAATGATATTTCGTACAGCCGGTTTCTCAGCCAGTCCTCCTCATTGATCACTGTTTAACGCTTAATTCTCACATTCGCTTCGTCAGCCATTCTGCCTCGTACTTGAATGATGTATGACGTCAGGAGTGACATATATGAGAATTTTAAAATGTACTTACAGAGAGATCACTTGAAGCGAGAGCCCACTTCAGTGAGTTACTCGTCCTACATAGTGGCTAATAGGTAGGAGTGTCGTAGAAAGTGCAAAGTGAATTTATAGTATATTAACTTTTTCTTTTTAATTGTCACGTTAATCCTGTACTTGGTAAATTTTAATTGGATCGAATCAGCCAAGCGGGACTCGATGGATTTCGTCGAGTCGAAACTCTGCAAATTGGTCGATTTGCTTTGCCGTACGTTCGTTAACGCGTGGCGTGTGAATTTCGTTGGTATTGTTGATGCTTGTTGGTTTTTGAATGAAAACGAAAAAAAGAAAAAAAATGTTGAAAAATAAAAATGAAGGAAACGCATTAGGTGGGCTCGCGGGTGTTTAATTCGATCGGTCGTTGTCTCGTATGTAAAAGGTCCCGTGCTCGGGGAGGCTCGGGGAAGTCCTGGAAGAAGAGAAGAATGAAGAGTCGAGGGTAGTGCCGGCATCCTCGAGGGAAGCTGAAGCGTGCCTGAAGGTCGTCTCCCCTGAACAGGGGAGGCAGCCAGGGTGAAAGCCTCACGATAGGTTGCTTGCAAAGCGGGGGGTCCAGGGGGCTGGAGGGTGGTACGAGTATGTGTTGCGTCTTGCAAGGGGCAGAGAGAGTCTTTCCCTCGGCCGGGGGGAAGCAGGGGGGTGGTTCTGCTAATACAAGGGGAGCCACCCCCGTAGGGGCGCCGGACCTACCCTTGGAGTCTCTTTGGGCTGCGGGATTAGACGACGGCATGGGATTCCCGCAAAGATGTTCCTACGCTCATCACACCCTGGCCAACGTACCGAATCACTCGAACAACCCTGATGAACTCTGGCGTGAACGGAATCTGTCCTACAGGTAGAGCTCCAATTAACCCCCTGGCGGTTGGAGCGTTAACTATAGCCTATAGCCGGTTGTAAAAAATTTATATTTTTATTACTTATATATAATCCCACCCCACCAGCCCCTCCTAACCTCCTCTTTCGACTCCTCCACGTTTATGGCTGTTTATGGCTGTCGTTACGATTCAACCCCCATCGAGGTGTCACTTAGATTCGGATAACCCTGGACTCTAACTGCAGAACACCCACCACCTCGACCGGCATCGGATCCTCGATAACGGATGAGATATGGACCTCAGCCAACGAGAGGAAGTTCTTTCGGACGTCGACTACGTCCACCGGGATCGGATCGTCCCTGAATCTTCAGGATAACAACAGATCGCTAGAGTCGAGGGATGGAGATTTTTACTCGACGGATATCGAGGACTCAAAGGACACGTATCGTAGATTCTATCCGAACACACCGACGACCTCGGGTCTTGGATCTTCGTCGGACAGACAGTCGGTCGAGACGCAGCGCTCCAGAGACCTACCGGATCACCTTTGGGCGGCGGCCATGGAAGACGGTTTCTCGAGGTTCAACGCCATGAAGTCACTTCAGACCATCACCCGGCAACCGAGACCAAATCACGATTGGGTAAGGACCGAGAGGATCTCGCGATTCACCAAGCACAGGACGATCAGCCAGTCGCCTCAGCGCGAGCAGGAAATTTGGACGACCACGTTGAACGACGCGAGCGTCTCGGGATACGCGACCCAGAGGAACCCGATGGCTCATAGGTGTCACCATCAAGCCAGACGTAGCTTCTCCACGTCCATCGTCGCCGACCTTGCCGTCACGCCTAATGGCTCGCAGCAGAGCCTGGGAAGCGGAGAATTTCTGGTGAGTCGACACGTCATCCAAATCTCTCGACTGCGAGTGCCGCTTTGTCTTTGCACTTATTAATTTTTTTTTTTTTTTTTTTTTTTTTTTTTTTTTTTTTTTTTTTTTTTTTTCGTCATCATCCTTACCTCGTTAACCGTCACACGATAGTTGCCAACCTGCAAGACGTAGTCGGAGAATTTGGGAAAATGTCCCCAGGTCGCAATTTATCCTGGAATGTTAACGAGACTGTTATTAGTAGTCTCCCTATAGGTATATATCTATATATTTCAATGGGGACGTCGCACAAAGCTCCTCCATACACAGGTTATCCCCATAGATACCATGGGCAACGTAAACTGGCGAACCCTCGTTCGCACTACCGCCGTGAATTCCACTAAGGGGAGATTTTGGCAGGGATAAAGACATAGTTTCCACATACTTCAAGGATATACCGCGGAATCTTCATGTCCCTTGTAAAGCACATTTTAAATCTCGCCGATACCATTGTCCCGTTTTAATAAGTCATACAAATTTTAGACGTAACAAATTTAACCGATCGATACCTATACCGAAAGTATTATCGAAAATTACCATAAAAATCTTATTACGTAAAACAACGAAACTTACCCTACCTGACAGTATGCGTTTCGTGTAATGCACCAGATATCGGTATAGCTAAATTAGCCGATTCGCATAACGTATAATTAATAGCCGCACGGGTGGCAATACCCGTCTAACCCATTCAGGCGTAATGCCGAATCGATTTACCAGATTCAATTAAATTGCCGTGCAAACGTTGCTGCCGGCGACGTCGGTCGAGACGTCTCTGTGACGTCGCCCGTTAAGTGTTAATTCTCGCGTATTAACGTTTGCCATTTAACGAAGCGTCCTGGAAGCTACCCGTGCGAATTTAATACTGCAGTCGCAAAAAAGAGAAAGACCTCCGACTCTTCGTGAAATTCAGACATTTTCTACGATCGTTATGTACCTTTTTTTTTTACCCACCGTCATTTCCATTGGAACTGGACGTCGGCACGGATGACCCTCCTTTATTTCTCTGCTTTAATCACACAGGCAGTCCCATCCCGTTCGCAGTGCTATCTCCTGACCACTGGCCCACTGGCCCACTGGGCTATCAGGACTCCGAGTTACTTCGAAGACGGTATATCCTGGTCCTTGTAAATAACCAGCCTAACGGTTAACAAATAACAGCCTTGTAATTACGGTCGAATGATAAAACCCGTCATTTGTAATTCACGAGCCCTTTGCCCTCGAAATTCTGAGTATGAAAATTGTCTGCCTTTACTACTTTACTTTTGGTATAGACTGTAGTGGATAGGTATAGTTTGTGGCATGCATATGTATATCTATAGGATAGGCTTCTGGGGTCACCTCGTCACCTCCTACCAATTCTATTTATGTTCATCTAGACCAGACTACTTTTGAAACTGCTTGTACGATCCTTGCTTCTTCGTCCCTTGGTACGTCCAATCATCAACGCTGATAGCTAGGACCGTTTACCGATTAAATGAATTCCCATAATTTACTGATGAATCTCGTTCCTTTATTTTCCACTGTATTCGCCCAGGACGCCAGAGCGAATGGCGCTAATCGAAAATTATATTCGATCGATAGCAATTATCATTGCGTGTTATATTGTTCAGTGAAAAAGAGCAATCAGTCAATATTTACAGCAATGATTTATCCCATCTACGTTATTCTCACGTATTCCAATTACGCTCTGTAAACGCGTCTCTTTTGTCATTATTAATCTGTATCTCTAATTTTCGGTTAAGGAATTCAGCATATACCACACACGGTGTACTAATAGAGTGGGCAATCGTCCAGGGATCAGTTTCGAGCCGGCAGGTATTTAATTGATATAACGCGTCAGAGGCTGTTATCGAATCGGACAGACGGGCAGTGCACACTTGCGAGCGCCAATCAACGTTTTCATCAGGCCTGTCAGCTGTCAAAATCCAGTCTAATTGCCGACGGAACCTCAAGTTTCGGTATGACGGTAGAACGAGGCGGGATGTTTGGAAAATCGGATTTTTCTTATACGAGCTTTAACGCTGTTCAGTGTGATATGAGAATCTATGGAATCGAGGTAAAAGTCGTCCGTCCTCATTGACTTCATTTCGCGGTTAACAAATACCGTTGTGCTGCCTTTTGGAGCGCAGAAGTCATTAAGGACGTTGAACGTCCTCAGGCCTGGACGCCTTCGGCTCTCACAGACTTCAGTCGTATTGTGCATCCCTTGATAAGAGAGAGAAAAGAGATAAAAAAAAATTCGAATTTTTTCACAATCGAAAAATTCTTTCGTAAAATATTCTTTTCGTACGAAAACTCTTGAGAATTATGAGAAAAAAAAAGAATAAAATCTTGGCCAGCAATGAATGCAAGGACCATCAAAGTTATCACGTAATACCAGAGAGCGACGTCGCAGCGTCCCGACGCCAGTGCTTCTCAACCACGTGCCGAATATCGGATCAGATCGCATCTCCTACGTCAGCCGAGCAAACGCAAACCTGGAAGCTTAGCAACCAGGTGGATCACAGATCGAAGGGAGTCGGATGATGAACCTGGAGGAAGGATGAAATAGGAAGAGAGACGAAAGCGCAATTTCCCAGAGGGGATATTATTATTATTTTAGCTAACCTCAACCGGGAATCGCGCTTTGGTTATCGAGTCGATTCCTTCATCAAATAATCAGGGCCCGACGGGCAGCATGGGATTTCGCGCAGGACCAGATTCCGCGTTGCGGGGAATTCCTCTAACAAAATCGCACAATCCGTCATCCTGAAAGGACAGAGTCACGTGGACCGGACGAACGTCCGTGAGTCCTGATCCTTTTTTGTCTCCCAAGGTGTTTTGTCTCCCGGAATGTTTAATATAAAACTTCGTAATGTTAGGTTAGGTTGGCACTGGGTTCGTTCGTCGTTCTTTAATTTGAACTCCAGTCTGCCGGTACACGGCAGAGCAGCGCAGAGCAGCAGCAGCCAAGGATTGTTTCCTACTTCGTTATCCGGAACTGTCAGTCGGTACCCAGCTACATCCGTGTAAAGAAAGGAAAATCGTAAAACGAGACTTCATACTTATTTTTAGCTTCATTTGCCACCAATAAGCTACACCGTGTTTCCGTATCCTCACGAAATCAAATGACTGAATCTCTTGAGTGATAAATGGCTTTTAATCAAACGCGTTCCTCGTGCCCCACTTCAGCCTGGAACAACCGCTTGGGACGTGGTTGTGCATCGGGATTAAGTAAATTGGGTCGGGTTGGGTCGCGACTCGTTAACTGGCTCCGTAGGTTCGGCTCCGACCGTCCTTGATCACCTCCTGTCCTCTGCTGCTCTTCGGCATCCTCACTTTCGCTCCGATCTCATCCGGCGGATCGTGCCGCTTCGTTCGTGTCTTATTGTATCCTGTTTTTTTGGTCTTGATGGATTTTCATTTATCGCGATTAGACCTGATAAAAGGATTCCGAAGTGTTTTGCCCTTCCAAGATGCTATGAGACGCGCTTTCGATTCGCTATCGAGACAGGTTGGTCCCTTCGGGGTCTGTGGGTTGGCGTTATTGGCTTAAGCCTTGTTTGTACTGATCCTGTATAACCGAGCTTTGTACGAGCCTATTTGCTCTTTGAGACGGGTGACTATCCTGGAACATTGTTGTCTTAACTCCGAACCTGCCCCATCGGTTCGGCTGGAAATGTCGAAAGGCAGAGTCACTAAAGACACAGAGACAGGACAGGTTCAATAGAAATTTGGCGTAGAATAATTTTGACATAAAATTCATACAGTTGTGAAATTTACAAAAAAAATTCGTGTGTATTTTTAAATGCTAGGGGGATATCTTTGAAAAAAAATTTTCTTTCAAAGAAGTAGGCCAAAAGATTTAGTGGAAATGAAATGAAGTCTCAAAGGTAGGGGGCAGACCAAGTACACTTCGACGGCTTGGACATTTCGTAGGCAGAGGCGTCTGGCGGCTTTGCGGAAGTGACACGGCACTTTGGGGTCGCAAGTGTAATTAAAGAAGAAGCAGGGAACGAAGAAAGGAGGCCGCGAGACCACTCGGCGCAAATGAAGCTACACTCGGCACAGCCAATGAACAAAATGTCAGCCAGCCGCCAGGAAGACTGCGAGGCTGCGGCAGAGATCAGTCAGCCAGCTCTAAGAAAGGGAACTCCTACCGGCCGACCTTTTACCGGCTTTCAAGCTTTTATATTGCGCTCCGACTTTCCTTTGACTTGTTTTTTAATCCGAGAAAAACAGCTATTCAATCTTATTATCGCGATTCTCCCCGAGTGCTGTATGCAGTACTTGCGGGCATCGATGGAGGATTTTTTTTTCATATTTTCACAATTTCAAAATTTTGTCATTTCGTATTTTCGGAAATCACTGGAAGTCATTTCCTACACCCCCCAACACCTCCACAGTCGTCCAGATCCCCACACCCCATCCGGAGCAACGCTTAATCGAGAAACGGGGTTAATGCGGGACACTCCCCGGTAAGGGACAAAAAAGAAAAAAGAAGAAAACTTTAAGAAATTCCAATCTTCGGATTGCGCCACGGATGCGCCACTTTACGAGGAAAATTTTCCCCGAGATTCTTCCCCAAGGGGTGAAAACTTCATCGGTTCCACCCTGCAACCCTACCTCGAAGATACAAACAATCCTCATAAGGCGGAAACTCGGTCGACGTCAAGTTTTAACCC